TGGATGCCCGTCTGTCTCAAGGTCAAAGCTGGAACCCATGAGTTACCCTAGTATCCTGCCATAAATGGTCTTTTCTTTGTTTAATCGAAAACTTGTTGTTTCTACAAGGACCTACTGTATAGCACAGGGAACTCTACTCAGTACTCTGTAATAACCTATATGGGAAAAGAATCTGGAAAAGAATGAATATGTGTATATGTATAACTGAATCACTTGGCCGTACACCTGAAACTAACACAACATTGTAATTCATCTATACTCCAGTATAAGATAAACATTTTAAAAAATAGGGCTTCCCTGGTGGCGCAGTGGTTGAGGGTCTGCCTGCCAATGCAGGGGACATGGGTTCGAGCCCTGGTCTGGTAAGATCCCACATGCCGCGGAGCAACTAGGCCCGTGAGCCACAACTACTGAGCCTGCGCGTCTGGAGCCTGTGCTCCGCAAGGAGAGAGGCCGCGATAGTGAGAGGCCCACGCACCACGATGAAGAGTGGCCTCAGCTTGCCACAATTAGAGAAAGCCCTCGCACAGAAACAGGGACCCAACACGGCAAAAATAAATTAATTAATTAATAAACTCCTACCCCCAACATCTTCTTTGAAAAAAGAAAAAAATAATAAAAATTAAAAAAAAATAAAATTTGTTGTTTCTGTTATTAGGAAACTAGATAATTTTGAACACATACACAAATATATTGATGAAATAAAAGAAACTAGCACTTATTTGTTTGAAATATTTTGCTGCAAAAATTAGAGATTGTTGCTTTCTGTTTTGGCATAAAAATCCACGAGTGGGCAGAAAAATTTTCAGCTGAATTCTCTCCAACCTGAAACACAAGCCACACAACTAATTTATGCTCAGTTTTCAATAGACAGCTAGCTCCATTCCAATTAAACAGAATAGCCATGATTACATTTTTTAGAAGAAAAATAAACTGATTTTTTAAAATAGAGTCTGAGGCTGTATGATCAGAGCCCCCATCTGTGTATGCTCTTGTGTGCCCAACAGTGGGCTAAAGGGTTTGCAGGCGTTATGAGTTAAGGGTTATCATTCCATCTGCAGACTGGAAACCCAGGGTCCAAAGAGGATAAAGAGCTACCCAGGACTACCTGCTGCCGTGGCAGAATTCAAGACCGAACACGCGAGCCACGTTTTTAAACCACCACTCCACACTGCTTCCTTACAGCTACTGCAGACGTTTATGTGCCAATCTTTTCCCTGAAAAATATCTGCTACTTTGGCTTATAACCTCCATAAAGACAATTGACGGAAGATGAAAGACAACTGAGAAGCAAGTGGGGAAATGTCCCATCCAAGACAGCTAAAGCGCATCACTTTGTAAGTAACAATGACAGTGGTGTGCAGTGCTAGGGACAGACCTCATAAACGCAGTGGTGAGCAAACGAAGGCTGAGACAGAACAGGAGGTTCTACGAGATTCTGTGCATAGAAAGTTCAGAAAGAAACAAAGCTAACCTGCAGTGTTAGAAGTCGGGAGAGAGGCTGGTTTTAGGTTGGGTTGGGGACAGATAATTAAGGAACTCAAAAGTCCCCTTAACAAGACTCCACTGCAGTTCTATCGGGGGGTGTCCTTTCCTCTCTCTGACCTTAACGGCAGGTGACGGTGCAGCCGGCGGCTCGGGGGTCTCGGTCTTTAACTACACGCGGACTCCTGGGCTGCAGGCAGCTCTCCGAGCACTTGACTATCAGCGATCTGTTTCTCTCCACCCCACACAGACGAGAGGATGGAGTCCCAGTGCCTGGGGACTCCCCAAGGTCATGCAGCCATTAACGATTCACCTATTCAACACGTGGTCACCCAAAATGCATACGGCAAATGTGTTAACTTCGTTTATTCAAATGTCTAGTATGAGCCTCAATTTTTCCTCTTTTGTTCCGGATTCCACCCCCTCCCACCTCCTCTGAAGCCGGGGCTCCTGATCTGTGCTTCTCTCACCGATATTTAAACAGCCCCAAGCACCTGGTATCTTACAAAGATCTCCCTGGACCTGCCCTCCCCTCCCACCTCCGCCCGGTGCCCGAGCTTCGCCCGCAGGCATCGGACTCCTGGCCTGAACGCCTCGTCCCCGTCCACCCCCCAGTCACCACCCTGGACCTCTTCCCCCAAACTCACCACGGCCATAGCATCACCGGCATCTCCATCCTCCAAAGGCTGCTCCCCGGGTCTGTCTGAGGCCTTTTCTGCATCTCACACTATCCGTAGATCTCCGGGCTCAAGTCAGTTAAGTCGGCAGTTCTTAGCCTGCACGGGTTCATGCACGAGGACCTCTAAAAGGGTGGGGTTTCCTCTTATTTTGTTTAGGTTTCTCATTTTTACATCATTGTTTTTAAATGAAACTGATTAAATGCGTCAGGCGTGCTGTTATTTTCTAAACAGAGCTCCCAGGTGCCCACACATTCTTCTCACCAAGTTCATTTGGACTTCTTCTTATTTAAGGCAGCAATACCATATGCTCCAAGTTCAAAAAGACATAAATGGTCTCAGGATCTCAGCTATCAGTTCAGAAAATGAATATTTACACATGTATACGTATATGGTAATCTTATTTCAATAGTATGAGCTCTGCTACAAATGTCTTTAATTCAAAAAAACACAGATTTTTCATATTTCAGTTTGAACAAAATTCACGTTTCAGATGAATGCAAATAAAAGTAACAAATTCTGAATAAATGTATTAAATATTATTAAATTAGAATTATAAAAGGGGACCTTGTACATGATTATTCAACAAACATGTTACAAAAAATCATATCAAAAATATTTCTCTTTGGCATGCTCAGACATAATTTACATAATTAAATATATAATTCATACATCTATGGAATGTTAACCTACAAGAAAATAATATATATAGCAAAAATAAAGTAGAATAGCATAAATTTTAATATTCTATTTGCAATATGTGAATTAAACTTTGTATTAAAAAATTTCAAATTACTATATACACCAAAATAAACCAAGGAAGATCACATCCTATGCTAGGACACAGCTCACCAGTTATTTCTGAGAAGTCTCTTATTTTACTCATCTTAATACACCATAAAATTAGAAGTTTATCTCTTTTTTACAGTTAGTACGATTCCAGGTACTATTTTTCCTTCGAATTAGATTTACGTTCTTAAGACATACCTGTGGGATGGAAGAAGAAAAATGTCATTTATGACCTGGTTTTTAACATATTTAAACATATGCATAGTTTTAATAGAGTTATATTTTATTTTATTTTGTTTAAAGAATCTGTGGACTTTTAATTTACAGTCAGATCCTGAGAATGTAGATCAACGTGTATGTGGAGGGGATTGATCGGTACTTTTAGAAAGTTTAAATGATGACTTCCACCGTTAAAGTTTTAAGATACCTGCAGAAGCCAAAAAGTGAACTTGACATCCCCTAAATAACTCAAAAATATTCCTAAAATTTATTCATCTGTAATACTCGAATTCCTTGTTAAGTACGTGGAAACAGATACTATCAGAGATGACTCCTCCAGAAAAAAACTCACTAAATCTCCAAACTCTGCAGTTTTAAACGGGCCTGTTTATCAGGTCTGTCCTCTATGAATCTTGTCCCAGGAGAATGTAAGTTTGCATAAAATATTTTAAATTATAATACAGTACTTGTTTTTTTGAGAAGTTTTCCAGTTATGAGGTTGCTTTTTGGACTTTATGTACATTTACTCATTCGGATAAAATATATCAAAGCAAAGAACAAGATAAACGTGGCCTGAGTGACTGATTGATTTTCTTTTCAAACATGGCTTGACTTAGGTCACTTCAAGAGCCTCATGAGTTTTCTTCATTTATTCTTATTTTGCATTATTCAAAAGGTTGGAGATGGGATGAGAGTAACTGATTTGAATATCTTGCCACTGAACACTGAAATGATCTAACTGATTTTCTTAATCTAAAAAAAAGGGGAAATTTTTAGTTCAGCAAATTTAAATATGCAGAATTGAGTGCCAATTATTATTATTAATTTATAATTGCTTTTTCAATAAGAATAAGAAAAGCAACATCAACAATAGGCCAGAATTGTCTCAGTAATTGTCACAGCAAACCTATCAGATCCTATCACATCCCCATGCAGTTATTGGGATAAATTAAGTTACATTGGCCAGATCGAGATATTCACAGATACTTCCAGACTACAGGTTCTCCAGACTTTGATGTCCACCCTAGAAAGCTGAGGAACTTTAAAAGGGACTTGTCCGGGGTACTGGAACGCTGACGACACCCCCCTTCCCCGCTCCCACCCCCCAAATGTTGACTCTGTACTACACCAGAAAGAACTACTGATTAGAAAGATATTTGCAAAGAAATGAACACCTTTCAGTCTTTTGTATAGACTCTACTTTTGTAAAGAAATGTGAGAATTTCCTTTTGATTTATCTAGGTCATACAAATACTTTATTGCCCTAGGGTTCCAAAGGTCATTTAGCCAGAACGAAAATTCTAACTTAATTTCACTCTGGCAAAATGCTTACATGTTCACTATACGTTTGATTGTTTGCTTTTTCTTCTATTCTTCTAATACTTCCTCTCTTATTATAACCTATAGAGCATAAATCAAAATTTTAGGGCCCTACTTTTATTATATCTACTTTTATTATACTTTGACCAGTTAAAAAAAAGGTAGACCTTTAAATAGTTTGGTTCATCTAATGTGTATATGCATACGGTTTCTGCACAAAAATGACATAACATCAAATGTTGAAATATTTTAAAAAATCACTGAGGACTCGTAAGGCTGCCAAAAAGCTGTTTCTATTAATTCAATCACTGTTGAGGACATTTTTTTATTAATTCAATAAACCATTTAGACCAAGCTTTAACACTAAGTGGAAAATCCACAGGTTAAAGTTATTTGGTGGTGCTAAGATCAGCTTCCTGGGCTTTTTAAATTGTTCAAAATTTCTTAAGAGAGTCAGGCTGTTAAACAGAATAAGAAAAATTAATAAATACATACTCACACGTAGGTCTTCTATGCCTGTGAGCACAGAGGACTCACTGCTAATCTTTTGAGCAATCTAGCACATCTTTTGTAATCTAGGAGAAACATTTAAAAGTAAATTGTGTATATGGTTACTACAAATGTGGGGAAAACCATGTTAAGTTATTGTCGCTAATTCTTAATAATGATAGCCATAATTTAATAAACATCTAATATAGCAAGTACTTAACCTGGATTTTCTCATTGATTCTCCTGATGATGTAAGCAGCTAAGATGTTACTGTCATCTTCCCTTTAGAGATGAGAAAACAGCCTCAAAATGTTAAGAGTCTCATAGCTAGTAAGCAGTTTCATTCCAAAGCCCAGAGTTTCTCCACCATATGCTGTGCTACCACTTAATCATTCTGCCTAGATGCCAACAAGATTCATTTTCTCTAGTCATCAAACACAAGTAGTTTTTGAAAAAATCATAACAACTCTGACTGAACATCCCAAGTAAAATTAAATATCCCTCAAGATGACCAATTTAGTTTAAAAAAATACAAAACGTTTAAAGTTCATTTTCTTTAAAAAGAAAGTTTAGATTTAGAAAGGAATTTAAAATTAGCCAACTGAGTTACCACACTTAATGATGATTTGGGCAGTTTAAAGGGGAGCATTTAAATATAATGTTTGGAATTGCTATTTAGTTCAGAATCCCAAAGAATTCTTTAGACAACCTTTAAAACGCACGCTACCGTTATTCAGGAAAGTCTATCACTCAGCATAGAAATGATGTGATATGAAACTACTCGTAAAAACTTAGGGGGAAATTTTGACTTACACTTCATGGTCATCTTTTTTTTTTTCCATTTATATAAAGAGTGCCTTATTTATGCCAAGGAATTTGATAAATGATAAAAGGTTTATCATTTATCAAATGATAAATCCTGACAGACATTGTGGTCCTTAAGGAAATCTGGCTATTTTCAGATCTGTCTGAAATAGTCCCAATTAGAATGCGGTTTCATTGCTCACGGTGTCAACAGAACGCACGCACCTTAAATTTAAGCACCGTCAATGTTATAAACAGCACGTCATACAATGTTTAGTCTATTATTTCCCACTCACAGACAGCTGAAGTTTAAAATCACGTGCATTTACTGTTGGATAAAGATTTTTTAAAAAGGACAAAAATGACCCAAGTTACTTACAAGCTGGCATTGAGCAATCCCTGGTGTTGTGGTAGAGCCTGTGGAAATGTTTGCTACACTCGGCTGAAAACGTGACCGGCCCTATTGGACAGGAAAAGAATGCTTACAATACACATAGGTGTGTTTTCCAATCAAATCTGCCAGCACTTTATGGATAGAGATAATATAACTGGTTTACATCTTTCCATGCCCTTAAAAGACCTTGCCTGGGGGCACGTCTCCTCCCCCAGACTCTGGGGCAGGCAGTGAGGTGTAATCTGTGAAAAACAATCGAAATTCACTCCACATTCTCAACATCTCACATAATGGAACATAAGTCTATTTCAGGAGAACTCCTCAGAATAAGTAAGAGAGAAAAGCTCTAGACAGAAAAACAAAAAATCTGCAGAGAGCAAAGCAAGCGGATGTGAAAGAATAAAAAATAAATATCCACGGTTTCCACTTTCTGTTCTTCATTTTATTTAATAGGAGTGAATGTTTATATGCAGAGACATTTATTCCATTTTCTACTTAGAGTGATTTGTGTCAAGGACCACTGGAAGGTGGACAGGGTCTTGAGACTTCCCTTATTTTCCCCACAAACCCAAGACAGTCCTCACCAAAATTCATCCCTACATCTGGAGTCTGCTTTTTATGGAAGTGGTAGAAGTAGGGGAGCCCACGGTGCCACTACCAGGGTTCTAGAAACATCAGGAAATTTCTTACACTTCTCCGTGCCTCAGGAGGGTCTTCACGACCTCGTTCCAAAGTTAATTAACAAGGTGGCCCTGGGCTTTGGTCAAGGGGGAACCCACATCTTTGCCAGCTTATTGGCCTGAGATGTAAAACAGGGAAAGGCGGGGGAATGACTAGGCACAGAGTAAAGGTCAGGGTGCACGCTTCGAATTAAGTGATTTGCTAGAACATGGGGCACAGGATGATTGCAATGATTCCCCAAGTTGATCCGAAGAACCAAGGAGTGTCGTGGGAGAGAAAGCCACCGGTGCTCACCATGTGACACATGAAGGGAATCTGCTCTGCCCTGTGAGAAACACTTCCTCTGTGTCGCCGACCGGGAGCACAGCTAAATCCCTAGCACACCACGGAGGACTCATCACAGTACAACTCCACCCGCCTTCCAGCCACACTCTGTCCAGTGGCCACACACACACCCTTGCCTAAACTGGCCGCCCGGTCCTGCCCCAAACCACACCATGTGTCCAAAGGATTGCTTCTGACCAGGATGCCTCTCTCATCCGGGAAAACCCTATTCATCCTTAGAGCCCAGCTTATATATTGTGTCCACGACAGCCTTTTCTGGTAGTTCTTGGCAAAACTGTCCACTTCCTGTGTCTCCCTAAAATTCTGTTTACACTTCTATCATTCACCCAGATCTGGTTCCCATCACCATTAAAACAAGCTAGTAGCATTTGCCTACCTCCCTGACAGGACTGTGAGCCTCTAACAGACATTTATTTTCATGCCCTCAATGCCTCATGGAGTAATATGCTACAATCTTTTTAATTGAATCGCTGATAAAGTTCACGCCTACCTGTGAAATGCTTTATGAATTTGTCTTTTAAGTTCAAATCTCTTGGGAATATTTCTGAAAAGAAAAAAAACCTTTAGAATTTCTTGAATGCATTTCCATCATTAAAAAATCTCCTTATAAACACTAACTCAGAAGGATATCTGCACCCCCGTGTTCACTGCAGCATTATTTACAACAGCCAGGATACGGAAGCAACCTAAGTGCTTGTTCACTGTTCACTGATGGATGAATGAATGTGGTATATATGTATACAACAGAGTAGCACTCAGCCATAAGAAAGAATGATACCCTGTCATTTGTGACAACATGGATGGACCTAGAGGGAATTACGTTAAGTGAAATAAATCAGACAGGAAAGACAAATACTATATGATTCCACTTCCACGTGGAATCTAAAAAACAAAACAAATGAGCAAACAAAACTAGGTTCACAGAAACAGAGAACAGAACAGTAGTTGCCAGAGGGGAGGGGCATTGGGGAGGAAACAGAATAGGTGACGAAGGAGGTCAAGAGGTACCGACCTCTGGTTATAAAATAAATAAGTCATGGGGGTGCGATGGACAGCATGAGGATATAGTCAGTAACACTGTAGAGCACGTTAGAAGGTTGCCAAGAGTAAACCCTGAAAGTTAACTGTACGGTGACGGATGGTAACCAGACTTCTCGTGGTGATCATTTTACAACGTATACAAACATCGAATCATTATGTTGTACGCCTGAAACCAAGGTAATGTTGTACGTCAATTTTGCCTCAATAAAAAAGTTTTAATATCCTTACAAGTAGACTATAATGACAAGCACTAAACACATGAGCTTGTGGTTGTTCACGCAGCTGATTCCAAGTCTGTATGTCCAGCCCTGGCCAGGGTGACGGGGAGAGGTGAGGTGAGGATACTCACCATCCTTTATAAACTTTGTCTAAGGGTGAGGAGAAGGGAAGGATTTTTAGGCAAGGGAGTGATACCATCAAGCTTCATTTTTAAAGATCATCATGCCTGGTACGGAGGGGCGAGAGTAGATGCAGAGATGAGATAAAAGGTTTACAGAGACGTCATCGTGCGTGTGTGGAACAGAGCTGGCCTGTGGAGGGGTTAGCAAACTGCCCTCAGGACTCATCCTGCCCCACGCCTGCTACTGTAAATAAAGTTTTATTGGACCACAGCCATGCTCATTACTTACGTGTGGCCTACGCCTGCTTTCGTGCTACGATGCAGGGGCAAGACATTGTTGCAGAGATTGTATGGCTCACCGAGCCTCCAATATTTTGAAAATGTTTGAAATAGAGAAAGGTTGCCAGTGCCTGCTGTAGCATCCTATTTGCATTCAGCTAAAATGGTGATTGTCTGCAGAGAGGCAACAGCGACAAGGATTCTGGGGGTGGGAGGGAAGAGAGATTTTTCAGTGCATACTCTTTTCATTAACATTTTTAAAAATTAATTTATTTTTTTATTATTTTTGGCTGCGTTGGGTCTTCGTTGCTGCAGACGGGCTTTCTCTAGCTGTGGCAAGCAGGGGCTACTCTTCGTTGTGGTGCACGGGCTTCTCAGTGCAGTGGCTTCTCTTGTTGCAGAGCATGGGCTCTAGAGCGCAGGCTCAGTAGTTGTGGCATGTGGGCTCAGTAGTTGTGGCATGTGGGCTCAGTAGTTGCAGCTCGCAGGCTCTAGAACGCAGGCTCAGTAGTTGTAGCGCATGGGCTTTGTTGCTCTGCAGCATGTCGGATCTTCCCGGACCAGGGCTCCAACCCATGTCCCCTGCATTGGCAGGAGGATTTTTAACCACTGAACCACCAGGGAAGTCCAACTTTAACTTTTTTCAACGTAAATCTGTTTTCATTTTTCAATAAGCAACTAGTTAATTGAAAATGAATCTGTATTTAGGGATTAGATGCCCTGGTGATAACTTTCAATCAACAAAATATTAAATGAAGGACTGAATATGAGAAAACTACCCCCAACAACAAAATTAGATGATTGAGCTCTGATGGAAAACAGTCTTAACAATCAGCTTCCATTATAGAAATGGGAGCCACATATGTAATTTAAAAATTTTTAGTAGCCACATTTTAAAAAGTAAAAAAAAGTTGAAAAATTAAAATTAATTTTAATTAAATTAAAATTAATACTTTATTTAACCCATTATATCCAAAATATTATCCTTTCAATATGTAATCAATATTTTAAATTACTAGTAAGATAGTCTACATTTTTTATACTAAGTTTTCAAAACCCAAGGTGTACTTTACACTCACAGCACACCTCAGTTTGGACCAGCCGCACTGCAAGTGTTCAGTACTCATAGGTACCCAGTGGCTACCATGCTGGACGGCACAAAAATAGAATGTAGGTTTCACCCCTCTGGTATCTAAGGACAACGGTATGGGAGATTACATGTACAGATGGATTAAAAATAAAAGGATCCCAGGACTTCCCTGGTGGTGCAGTGGTTAAGAATCCGCCTGCTAATGCAGGGGACACGGGTTCGAGCCCTGGTCCAGGAAGATCCCACATGCCACGGAGCAACTAAGTCCGTGCGCCACAGCTACTGAGCCTGCGCTCTAGACCCTGCGTGCTGCAACTACTGAAGCCCGCGTGTCTAGAGCCCATGCTCCGCAACAAGAGAAGCCACCGCAATGAGAAGCCCGCGCACAGCAACGAAGACCCAACACAGCCATAAATAAATAAATAGTTAAAATAAATAAATAAAAGGATCCCTAGGTAATGCTTGATGACTATCCTGGAACAACTTGAATAACCTATCATCTCATTCATCGAATTTATGAAAATTTCTAGTTTTCATTTAACCAAAACAGTTACCATCTGCCACCCTCAACAATTTTAAGTTTACAATAATATGTTTTTAAAGGAACAGACTTGCATATTATGTATATAATGTTGGCAGGCTTATCTCTTGTACCTACTTCTTGTTAAAAATGAGCAGAGATCATGTGAAATAATAAAAAAATCATAATACAGAACAACTAGAAAATAACAGAAAATGTTTGGTGTTTGCTTTTACTTGTGTATAACTTAATATCTTACCATAGAGATAATTTACTCTGCCATGATCGATTCTTTACAAAGCCACGTTAGTGGATCCTTAGTACCTCTGGAAGTACTGAAGGGCATTACTTTATGTTTTAATCTAGCATTTTTCATGTACTTGAATTGAAATGTTTGTTATATAGTTCCCTGAGTTATCATTTCCTTTAGTTAAGGAGCTGGCATGATTATTCTCTTTCTAAATATATAAAAACAATTCTACTTTCAAAAATAAGAACTAGATTTATTACATCAGTGCTGAGAGAATCACTGAGGGAAAATGTAAGTGTTTGAAAAAAAATTCATGTTTATTAATAACTCTGTTCCATGGGTCTTCTGGGAACTTGTAAGAAATATAGAATTTCAGGCCCAGACCTATAGAGTCACTTTCACAAGAACTCCTAGGGGATTTATTTGCACATTCAAGTTTGAAAGCAGTAAACTAAATGTTCCAAACAAGATACAAAACTTCTTGAACATTCAACAGTGAATTACTTCATAATCAATAAGTTACAATATTATTACGAATGTATTTGTAGTCTGTGATTATTAGAAGACAAGACACAGAATTCTTTCCAGTAAAATTATCTCATCATGGGGGGCTTTGTTGGTGGTGTTTTGAATTTTTATCACTTCTTTACTTTCGGGCACTACAGGATGCTCCAGGCTCCTCCTGAATAATTTCCTGTCTCGGTGTTAGTACCAGTCGTTTCTCCAAGGAGCCCTGGTTCCTCTTATAGAGGATGGTATTAGAAACCGAAGTCTGGGACTTCCCTGGCGGTCCAGTAGTTAGGACTCGGTACTTTTCCTGCCCAGGGCCTGGGGTCAATCCCTGGTCGGGGAACTAAGATCCCACAAGCTGCGTCGAGGGCAACAAAAAGGAAACCGAAGTCTGGGTACCAGGTGTGCTTGTTGCTACTGGGGTATGGTTGTTTCCAGGCCCATGCAGTTGACGGAGCAAAGAAACATATGTGTGGTACGTAGGGGCACCCTGATTTTTAATATACCTAGTGTTTAAATTATTTAAAATTGTACCACAATACTTGCCAAAATATATTTTTGGAATGTACAGTATCTGTAATATTTCACTGATAATATTACAAAGAATTTAGGATTTAGTTTTTTTTTTTCCCACATGGAAATAGCTACAAAGACATCATGAAGGAAGAGGGCCTGGAAGGAGAGGTGAATTGTGACAGGCAGAGATGACAGAAGCGCGTTCCAGGAGCTGGCAGAAAAGCACAGACAGCGGCTACGGCATCTGCAAGGGGCAGGCCCCGCCCATGCGACCCGCACCCTGGGAGAACCACAGAAGGGAAGATGGGGCAGGTCACAGGGGACTTAAATGTCCTGCCTTCAAGAGAAGTTAGGGCTTTCTTGGAAAATCCAGAGAAGCCACTGCAGGTCTGTGACTGGGGAGGAAACAGCCTGGCACTACTAAGAATATTCATTTGTACTGAAATTAACACAACATTGTAAATCAACTATAGTCCAACATAAAAGTAAAAAAAAAAATTTTTAAAAGACACTTAAAGCACCTACTTTTCAGCACTTAGGATAAGATCAACCTAAGTAATATGTATTTTATATTTTAAATTACAATTAAGGGCTTCCCTGGTGGCGCAGTGGTTGAGAGTCCGCCTGCCGATGCAGGGGACACGGGTTCATGACCTGGTCCGGGAAGACCCCACATGCTGCGGAGCGGCTGGGCCCGTGAGCCATGGCCGCTGAGCCTGCGCGTCCGGAGCCTGTGCTCCGCAATGGGAGAGGCCACGACAGTGAGAGGCCCGCGTACTGCAAAAAAAATAAAAAAAATTTTAAAAATTAAAAAATACAATTAAAATGATGTATTAATCTCAAAAAAAGAATATTCATTTGTAATTGTTTGTAAGAACCTCTCCAAAATGGTCTTCACATTCCTGCCTTAAGCCTCATGACAGCAAGGTTTCACATTAAAAACAAACAAACCCAAAACAACCCAGCAACACAGATCTGATTCCATGAAGTCTGCAGAAGAATGTAAATGTTCAGTGACATCTCTTGAAAAGACAAAGCTTTTCCATCAAAACTTTCTAAAAGTCCCCCTCATACTTCCATCTCCCGAATTTCACACCAATTCCTTCTCTGTCCCAAATTCCTCCAACCCCCCTCTCTAGCCCCACCGCTGCCACTTCTCAGACATCTGACTCTGTTTTCATTTCAGTGACGAGTACCGCAGTGCTCCCTTTCTTTTGCAGAGTTCTGGGAACGATTCTTTGCTCCATTCTGCTGGTGTGATGGTCAGACAACAGAGGGGAGAAGGGATACAGGTTATGAAAACACACACTTTCCATGCTTAGCCCAATGAGGCAGCCCAGCAGAGGGCGCCACCCAAGTTAGGGAGGCAGTGTGACATTGTCCTGAGGCTTGAACCAGGGCGATGGGCAGGACGATAAAAAGGAAGGATCAGATTGCAGAGACCTGGGGAGTGGGGTTTGGTCATTAACCTGAGCTCCTTCAGCACGAGTCAATAATGTTGGTTAACTTCGTATTCCCACGCCCATCAGAGCACGTCAGGTGTGTGCTGTGAGTGGCTAGATGAACTGATGGATGGGTGATGCGTGAACAACGCATGGGGCGGGGAGGAAGGGGGGCCGGGGATGGTGAATCCTGAGGGTGATGGGTACCTGCCTCTCGCATCTCCTCCTTCCCAGTGCCCCCCTCCAATTCTAACGGCATCCTCGCTGGTCACCCTCTCACCCGAGGCTTCCGCACTTACTGCTTCCCCTACGTGGACCGATCCCTGCACCTCGAGCCTCACGGGAGTGTTTAGGGAAGCCGTTGACCTACAGAAAAGGGAGGCACCGCAGCCGCAGGTGCAGCAAGGGTTTCAGAGCCCAGAGCGCATGCGAAGGCCCGGGTGATGGTGTTTACTATGTCGCAGAATCACGGGGTCAGAATTCCCGAGGTACCTGGCAGGGATGACAGTCCTTAGCCTCCAGAGCCTGGGAGATGTTTCCTCCTGAATGAGCTGTGAACCCCGCCACACCCGAGTGTGCCTGTGAGGACCACCTGGATAGGGCCAGCTCATGTCCTTGTTGGTCCCTGACCCATGTCCGAGTGTCCCCTTCACTTTCACAGACTCAGATACGGATGTAAAGAGTCACCCTTCCTCCTCACGTCATCCAAAGACTACATCACAAACAGCTGGAGAAAGCAACCGATGTGGTGCACAGATCACGCTCTGCCGGGCTGTGTTGTTTTTTTAAACTTCGGATTGTTGCCACTTACATTGTAACTTTTAATAAAATATTCTTTCTCCCTAGAAACTCACTTCGGTAAGGCCTCAGCCTTTTACAGAGAAAAGATCTGTTAAACTTCAATGACACAGGTCTGAATTAATGTTACCACAAATGTTCCAGTAGTTGGAGACTTTCTTCCACTCTTTTACTTTACAAAGTGACATTCCATTCTCAGATAAACGTTGGGGCCAAGAAGTTGCAAGTCCGAGGATGCGAAGGGTGTGGTGCCGTCACTGCATCACTGCGGTGGTCACCATCCTGCCCAGCTCCCCTCCGGGAAAGCCCTGTGTGTCCCCACCACGCTGGAAAGCCCTGCCCAGCCCTGGACGAGGTCCTGGGTCCTCCTGTCTCAGCTTCCTGGACCTTCTCCACCCCCTGCCTCCCCTTCAGCCCGTCACTGGCCTCCTCTTTGGGTCTACCTGTGCGCCAGCCTCCCCGCCTCCCCACCTAGAACGTGCCGTCAGAACGCAGACACCTGACTGCCTGCTCCCCTGGGTGGCCTCGGCCTCTGCCTGGTGACTGGCACGCAGCAAGTACTGGATGAAAATTTGTGCAGTGAATGTGTATATATTTATATCATAAATATCATGAAAGAAAAACGGTCCTAAGAAACCCCTCTCTGCTTTGTTCAAAGTGAAGTAAGAGGCAGAAGAGCGAGGAGATGACAGCAAGGCTGCTGTGGGCTGCGACCTCTCAGCCAGCGGGTGCCGGGGGGCGGCCCCCGGAAAGGGGCGCCTACCGCTGCCCGGGCTGGGCGGCCAGCGCGTCCTCGCTCCGCAGGTGCGCGGGCTCCCAGCAGAGGCGCGTGTGAGCGGCTCCCTCCTCCTGCCCCGCCCCGGCCTTCCTGCCCTAAGCGAGCCGCAGTCCCGCCGCCCCGTCGGGCCGCTTCGACCCGGGCTTCTCACGTTTACTCCTCGTTCGGCCGCCGTCCTCGCCGCCTTGGGGTGTCTCAGGACTCCTCGTGTCGGCTACTTTTAATCCCTTTTCTCATCCCCACCACTCGTTGGGCAGCGAAGCGCCAGGAACCTGGGCGCGCAGAGCTGATCCGGGAGCCGCGGCGGCGGGTGGAGCCTGCTCAGCTACCCAGGCCCTGCGCCAACTCCAGCGGGGCGCAAAGGGGCGTCCCGGCGCGCGACGCCAGGGCCCTGGCCCAATCCCCAACCCGGGCTGGACCGGAAAGAGGCGCCGCCAGGTGCTAACCTGTCCGCCCCGCCTCGGCCGCTGGGACTGAAGCGCATGTCCTCGGGCTCCGGGCCCCCGCTTCCGAGGCCCGGCCTCTCTCACAGGGAAGAGGCGCATCGAGCCGGTTCCTCCGCAAGATGGGTTTCTGGATACTTAACGTCTCGGCCGCGGTACGTCTCACCAGCTCATTGCCTCTTTCCCCGAGCGCCCGCCGTCGGCGGCGAGCGCTGCCGGCCTGCTCCCGCGGTGCGCGAGCCAGGCCGCCCCGAGCGCGCGCCTCTCCGGGCCGCACGAGTCCTCCCGCCCTGGGCTCGGCGCACGGAGCCGCGGGCGCGGGGCTGCTTACCTGCGCTCCGGGAGGCCGCGGGGAGGGACAGCCGGGGCTTCGGCTCCTCGCCCGCGACGCGCGCGCCCCTGCGGCCCCCGGGCCTCCCCTGGGTCCCGCGCGGCGACAGGACCAGCGCCAGCAGCAGCAGCGCGGGCAGCCGGGCGCTTAGCCTCGCCGGTCGCATGGGCGCGCGGGAGCGGCCGGAGGGAGATCAGGCGGGTCTCGGGCGGAGGCGGAGGGTCCGCGCCCCGAAGACGGACGGCGGGCGACACCTGCGCGCCTCGGGGAGGGACGCAGGACGAGGACACGGGCGGGGACGCGCGGCTGCCCCGGGGACCTGGGCGAGGCCCAGCGCGCAGATGCTCACAGGTCCGCGCGGCCTCCCCGACGGCCCCGCCTCGGCTCTGCGGGTGTCCGGGCTCCCCGCGCAAGGCCGGCTCTGTCCGCCGCCCCGTCCAGCCCACAGGGATCGAGAGAATCAACTTCGCGGCCGGGACCGAGGGGAGCGGCGTGGTAGCGGCGCGCGGCGGCGGAGACGCAGCTGCTGGGAGGGAAGGTGCGGGTCCCCTGAGCTCGAGCCCCGCCCCCAGCCCCTCGCCCCGCCCCCAGCTCGGAGCTGGCGGAAGAAGGATATAGAAACGACCGTGGGGCAGGGACTCCCCATCAACTATCCGTCAGGGAAAAACACCCTCAGACCATATCATCTTATGGCTGAAAGTCTGTCCTTTTACTAGCCTCTCTCTGTTTCCCCAGCCCAGTCGACCACTTTTCTACTCTGTTTCTATCAATTTGACTTTTAAAAAATTCCATATGTGATATCATGCGGTATTTGTCCTGTCTGGCTTATTCCACTTAGCATGATGCCCTCCAGGTTCATCCAAGTTGTCACAAACGGCAGGATTTCCTTCTTTCTCATGGCTGAGTAGTGTTCCAGTGTGTGTGTATGTGACCTCTTCTTTATCCATTCATCTGTTGTTGACCGACACTTAGGAGGTTCCGTACCTTGGCTATTGTAAGTAATGCTGTCATGAATATGGGAGTGCACAAATCTCTTTGAGATACGGTTTCAGTTCCTTTGGCTATAAACCCAGACGCGAGGCTGCGGGATCATATGGTAGTTCTGTTTTCCATGGTGGCTGCACTAATTTTGAACCAACTGGGAACTGACAGTGCACAAGGATTCCCCTTTCTCTGCATGCTCATCAATGCTTAACTATTTTTTGTCTTTTTGATCACAGCCATACGAACAAGTGTGAGATGATATCTCACTGCGGTTTTGATTTGCATTTCCCAGATGGTTAGTGACATTGAGCATCTTTTCATGTATCTGTTGGCCATTTGTGTGCCTCCTTTGGGAAAATGTCTATTCAGTTCCCCTGCCCATTTTTAAATCAGGTTGTTTAGGGGGTGTTTTGGTCTTGACTTGTGTGTGTTTTTAATATATTTTGGATATTAACCCCTTAACAGATAGATAGTTTGCAAATATTTTCTCCCATTTAGTGGCTTGCCTTTTCAGTTTTTTGGATGGTTTCCTTTGCTGTGCAGAGCTTTTTTCTTTTTCTTTCTTCCTTCCTTCCTTCCTTCCTTTCTTTCTTTCTGTATGTCTTCTTTGGAGAAATGTCTATTTAGGTCTTCTGCCCATTTATGGATTGGGTTGTTTGTTTTTTTAATGTTGAGCTGCATGAGATGTTTATATATTTTGGAGATTAATCCTTTGTCCACTGATTCGTTGAAAAATATTTTCTCCCATTCTGAGGGTTGTCTTTTCGTCTTGTTTATGGTTTCCTTTGCTGTGAAAAAGCTTTGAAGTTTCATTAGGTCCCATTTGTTCATGTTTGTTTTTATTTCCATTTCTCTAGGAGGTGGGTCAAAAGGGATCTTGCTGTGATTTATGTCATAGAGTGTTCTGCCTATGTTTTCCTCTAAGAGTTTTATAGTGTCTGGCCTTACATTTAGGTCTTTAATCCATTTTGAGTTTATTTTGGTGTATGGTGTTAGGGCTTGTTCTAATTTCATTCTTTTACATGTAGCTGTCCACTTTTCCCAGCACCACTTATTGAAGAGGCTGTCTTTTCTCCATTGTATATTCTTGCCTCCTTTATCAAAGATAAGGTGACCATATGTGCGTGGGTTTATCTCTGGGCTTCCTACCCTGTTCCACTGATCTATATTTCTGTTTTTGTGCCAGTACCATACTGTCTTGATGACTGTAGCTTTGTAGTATAGTCTGAAGTCAGGGAGCCTGATTCCTCCAGCTCCATTTTTCTTTCTCAAGATTGCTTTGGCTATTCAGGGTCTGTTGTGTTTCCATACAAATTGTGAAATTTTTTGGTTCTAGTTATGTGAAAAATGCCACTGGTATTTTGGTAGGCATTGCATTGAATCTGTAGACTGCTTTGGGTAGTATAGTCATTTTCACAATGTTTATTCTTCCAACCAAGAACATGGTATGTCTCTCCATCTGTTTGTATCATCTTTAATTATTTCATCAGTGCCTTATAGTTTTCTGCATACAGGTCTTTTGTCTCCTTAGGTAGGATTATTCCTAGGTATTTTAATCTTTATGTTGCAATGGTAAATGGGAGTGTCTCCTTAATTTCTCTTTCAGATTTTTCATCATTAGTGTATAGGAATGCAAGAGATTTCTGTGCATTAATTTTGAATCCTGCAAATTTACCAAATTCATTGATTAGCTCTAGTAGTTTTCTGGTAGCATCTATGTATAGTATCATGTCATCTGCAAATAGTGACAGCTTTACTTCTTTTCTGATTTGTATCCCTTTTATTTCTTTTTCTTCTCTGATTGCTATGGCTAAAATTTCCAAATCTATGTTGAATAATAGCGGTGAGAGTGGACAACCGTGTCTTGTTCCTGATCTTAGTGGAAATGCTTTCAGTTTTTCACCATTGAATACAATGTTGGCTGTGGGTTTGTCATATATGGCCTTTATTATGTTGAGGTAAGTTACCTCTGTGCCTACTTCCTGGAGAGTTTTTTTATCACAAATGGGTGTTCAATTTTGTCAAAAGCTTTTTCTGCATCTACTGAGATGATCATATGGTTTTTCTCCTTCAGTTTGTTAATATGGTGTATCACATTGATTGATTTGCATATATTGAAGAATCCTTGCATTCCTGGGATAAACCCCACTTGATCATGGTGTATGATCCATTTAATGTGCTGTTGGATTCTGTTTGCTAGTATTTTTTGAGGATTTTTGCATCTATGTTCATCAGTGATGTTGGCCTGTAGTTTTCTTTTTTTGTGGCATCCTTGTCTGGTTTTGGTATCAGGGTGATGGCGGCCTCGTAAAATGAGTTTGGGAGTGTTCCTCGCTCTGCTATATTTTGGAAGAGTTTGAGAAGGATAGGTATTAGCTTTTCTCTAAATGTTTGATAGAATTGCCTGTGAAGCCATCTGGTCCTGGGCTTTTGTTTGTTGGAAGATTTTTAATCACAGTTTCAATATCAGTGCTTTGATTGGTCTGCTTATATTTTCTGTTTCTTCCTGGTTCAGTCTCGGGAGGTTGTGCTTTTCTAAGAATTTGTCCATTTCTTCCAGGTTGTCCATTTTATTGGCATGTAGTTGCTTGTAGTAATCTCTCATGATCATTTGTATTTCTGCAGTGTCAGTTGTTATGTCTCCTTTTTCATTTCTAATTCTATTGATTTGAGTCCTCTCCCTTTTTTTCTTGATGCGTCTGGCTAACGGTTTATCACTTTTGTTTATCTTCTCAAAGAACCAGCTTTTAGTTTTATTGATCTTTGCTACTGTTTCCTTCATTTCTTTTTCATTTATTTCTGATCTGATCTTTATGACTTCTTTCCTTCTGCTAACTTTGGGGTTTTTTTTTTGTTGTTGTTCTACTTTCTCTAATTGCTTTAGGTGTAAGGTTAAGTTGTTTATTCGAGATGTTTCCTGTTTCTTGAGGTAGAATTGTATTGCTATAAGCTTCCCTCTTAGAACTGCTTTTGCTGCATCCCATAGGTTTTGGGTCATTGCGTTTTCTTTGTCATTTGTTTCTAGGTATTTTCTTTTATTTCCTCTTTGATTTCTTCAGTGATCTCTTGGTTATTTAGTAGTGTATTGTTTAGCCTCCATGTGTTTGTATTTTTTACAGATTTTTTTCCTGTAATTGATATCTAGTCTCATAGCATTGTTGTCAAAAAAGATACTTGATACGATTTCAATTTTCTTAAATTTACCAAGGCTTGGTTTGTGACCCAAGATAGGATCTATCCTGGAGAATGTTCCATGAGCACTTGAGAAGAAATTGTAATCTGCTGTTTTTGGATGGAATGTCTTATAAATATCAATTAAGTTTATCTTGTTTAATGTGGCATTTAAAGCTTATGTTTCCTTATTTATTTTCATTTTGATGATCTGTCCATTGGTGAAAGTGGGGTGTTAAAGTCCCCTACTATTATTGTGTTACTCTCAATTTCCCCTTTTATGGCTGTTAGCATTTGTCTTATGTATTGAGGTGCTCCTATGTTGGGTGCATAAATATTTACAATTGTTATATCTTCTTTTTGGATTGATCCCTTGATCATTATGTAGTGTCCTTCTTTGTCTCTTGTAACATTGTTTATTTTAAAGTCTATTTTGTCTGATATGAGAATTGCTACTCCAGCTTTCTTTTGATTTCTATTTGCATGGAATATCTTTTTCCATTCCCTCACTTTCAGTCTGTATATGTCCTTAGGTCTGACGTGGGTCTCTTGTAGACAGCATATATACGGGTCTTGTTTTTGTAACCATTCAGCCAGTCTGTGTCTTTTGGTTGGAGCATTTAATCCATTTACATTTATGGTAGTTATCAATATGTATGTTCCTATTATCATTTTCTTAAATGTTTTGGGTTTGTTATTGTAAGTCTTTTCCTTCTTTTGTGTTTCCTGCCTAGAAAAGTTCCTTTAGCATTTGTTGTAGAGCTGGTTTGGTGGTGCTGAATTCTCTTAGCTTTTTCTTGTCTGTAAAGGTTTTAATTTCTCCATCGAATCTGAATGAGATCCTTGCTGGGTAGAGTAATCTTGGTTGTAGGTTTTCCCCTTTCATCACTTTAAATATGTCCTGCCACTCCCTTCTGGCTTGCAGAGTTTCTGCTGAAAGATCAGCTCTTAACTTTATGGGGATTCCCTTGTATGTTAACTGTTGTGTTTCCCTTGCTGTTTTTAATATTT